TTTTTTTTTTTTTTTTTTTGCCGTGCATTTATGATGTCACTGCATGACATTACAAAGAAAGATTTTTATCCTGGTAAATTTTCACCTACATTTTTTGTGAACAATGCACGCTTGTTTCTAATGATCCTAGACTAATATCACCTGAGGGAGCAGTAGTTTATGAATTACTAGGTTTAGGGTGGACTTCACAGAAATAGCAGCTTGTTTTTGTCCATTTTCTGCCCACCACAAATAATTTGCTTCTGTGTTATCTCATCTTTTGCTTGTTTATTTAATTTTCCAGGGCTGAAGATGGAATCCAGGATCTCATATGTGCTAGGGCAAGGGCTCTACCATGGAGCTATACCTCCAGCCCCTTTTAAAAATTTTTGTATTTTGAGACAGACGCTCATTTAGTTGCTCCCGTCTCTCTTTCTAAACACACATGCACATCCACACGTACACGCAAGCGCTCACACCCACACCCAGGGGAAGGCTGCTTGTGGAGTCAGTGCTGAGCTTTACCTAGGTGCTTCTCTCCAGTTTTACCCTATTATGAGTCCCAAGTCAACATCTAAGGAAGGGCTCCTTCAGTTAAGGAATCTGGGACCCCAAGTGGGTGGAGAGAAGCTCCTCGCATGGCCATGACTGCCCTGTGCCTGACCCTGGCCTGTCTCCCCTTTTGCACCTTAGTGTGGCCCCAGGGGTCCTGCTGCTGTCTGCAGTTTGCCCCTCCTGCTTTCCAGAGAGGGCTTTGTTTACAAAGAGGTCATCCTGACTGTACCCCTCTCTGAGCCCAGCAGATTGAATTAATGGCCAGGATCGGGCCATCCTCACCGATTCCGTCCCTGGGAAGCTGATGGTGCCGTTGATCTTTTATTTCTGCTTCAGATGAATTAAAAAACAAAACCGTGTGCGAGGACCAGGAGCTGAAGCTGCACTGCCAGGAGTCCAAGTTTCTCAACATCTACTCTGCGACCTACGGCAGGAGGACGCAGGAGCGGGATGTGTGCTCCTCCGAAGCAGCGAGGCTGCCCCCCTACGGTATGTGTGCTTGTGTGGGTGTGATCAGGGGGCTGGCCAAGCGCATTCGGGTCCTGGGTCCCCAAGGAATGAAGCTGCTTACTGGCCATGACCCAGATCGCAGGGAAAGTTAAAGGCAGAGAGCTACCGACCACCATGAACAGGCCTCTTTCCCGTGTTCCCGGACCTGTCAGCTGTTCAGTCACTCACCCCGCATCAAGCAGTTATTGAGCTCCTGCTGTACACAGAGCCCTGTTTCAGGCAGTGGGGAGCCGTCAGTGCCCAACACAGTTGGCACAGTCCTGGATCTGATCTTCTGGCCGCAGAGGAGGAGGCCCTGAGAAAACAGGTGAGAAAGGAACTAACATATTTACTCCTCCATACCTTTGGGTTCTACTCCTGTGGCTTCAACCAATCGCAGGTTGGAAATATTTGGAAAACTGTGCATATGTTGAACATGTACAGATTATTTTCCTTTACAAAATTCTGTCAACAATACAGTATAACAAGTATTTACATAGTTTTTGCATCGTATTAGGTATTATAGTTAAGGTATATGAGAGGATTGCATAGGGTAGATGCAAATACTGCACCATTTTAGATAAGGTTTTGAGCATCTGTGTATTTTGATACCTGCAGGGGGTTCTGGAACTCATTTCCCGCTGAGGGGTGATTATATGTCATGTGTCAGGTGCAGGTACATCTGAGGAGAAAAGCTGGCCAGAAAAGGGGGGTGGAGAAGGCTGGTGTGCTACAGAGATGAGCAGTTTTATGGCGTGAGGGCCATGCTGAGCAGACTTGGATGAGGCAAGGATGTGAGTCTGTAGGCACCAAGAACCAGTTTCCAGGCAGAGGGAAAGGCCAGTTCAGGGTTCAGGGTCTTGAGACCAACTGGATGGTCAACAAGAGCTCAGTGAATCAGTCTACTTAGAAGTCCGCGATTTGAAGCGAGGAGATGATGTCACAATGTGGGCCTGACAGCCCCGCCCATCAACAGCATCCTGTTAACTGGCCAGAAACAACCAATAGGGTATGTGCATGTATGTGTACATGGAGAGAGTGGAGGGAGAAGGAGCGATCACAAGGCAGGGGCTCACAAGACCATGGGACTGGCAGCCCGGAATCTGCATGGCAGGTTGGCAAGTTGGAAACCAGGCCAGATTGACTTTGTAGTCCTGAGTTCAAATTCTGTAGGACAGCAGGCTGGAAACACAGGCAGAATTTCTACATTGCAGTCTTGAGGGGAATTCCTTCTGAGAGAAATCTCAGTCTTTGTTCTTAAGGCTTTCTTTGCTCTTCAGATTGCACGAGGCCCACCCATGCCATGGTGGGTATTGTGCTTCACCACACACCTACTGATTTAAATATTAGTCACATCTTAAAAAGTGCTTCACAGCCATATCTGCCCTGGCGCTTGACCCATAGCTGAGCGCTGTATCCTAGTCAAATTGGTGTGTGAAATTAACCATCACACTCCAGCTGCTGTGGTGTAAAAGCTCGTGTCCCTCTGCTGTGTTACCAGAGAGAGCAGGCCAGGTTGTGAAACAGCCTGAGGTGGTGCACCTATCAATTGACTTCTAAAATTAGCCCCTGGATGAATTAAATTTTTGCAATTTATCCACAGGTTGCATATGAAGTTAAACATTAATTCAGAAAAGAAACCCATGGCTCGAGTCATATTTTGAACAAAATGACATCAGTGGCCTAACTGCACAAACTCTTACATAAGACCAAGCGAGAACTAGGTCATGAGGAACATGTGTCCTCCAAAGGCCCTGTCGTGGTTTGCATATGATTTCTGTGTGTCCCCCAGGGTTCATGGGCTGACATTTAGTTGTGAGGGTTTAGGAAGGGGCAACCCTAGTCTGACTATGGTGTTCAGAGGTGAGGATTAGATAAGGTCGTCAGGGTGGACCCCCGCGATTGAGTCCATGTGGCTTTACAAGAAGAGAGACATGCAGAGAGACACACATGTGTTCCCTTCTCTCGTCACACGATGCCCTGCACTCTCTCGGGGCTCTGCCGCAAGAAAGCTAACACCAGATGTAAGTTCTTGACCTTGGACCAGAACTGCAAACCTAAATAAACCTCCTTTCTTCATAATTTCCCAGCTCAAGTATAGTAAACAAACTTATTACAGAAAATGGGTACTGGGAGTGTGGGATCATTACTTGAAACTGTGGAAATGGCTTTGGAATTGGGTAATGGGGAGAGATTGGGGGAATGTGGGGGAGCAGGCTGGAAAAAGCCTGTGTTGCTACAGGGAGAGCATTCTTGGCTTTTTTGGTGATGGTTCAGCAGTGGGTACTAGGGAATTAGTCTCAGCTGGAATTGAGGATCCTACTGGAAATTAAGGAAAGATCATCCTTGTTATGAAGGAGCAAAGTACCTGGCTATATTGCTTCTGTGCAATTCTTATGTCCAGCACTTTGTGGAAAAACCAATTTGAAGGTGATAGATTGAATAGTTTTTTTTTTAAAGGAGATTTCAGAAGAACAAAGCATTCAGTCTGCAGCACGGGTATTATTGGCTTTTAGTCAGATTTATAGTTAGATTCAGGAGCTGAAGGAGCACAGCAGAAAAAATTGGAAAATTCACAGCCTGACCGAGGAAGGAGCTAAGAAAAGGCATGTAAGGGTGTGGCCGAGAAACCACTGCTAAAGTGATTAGGGGATGAAATCCAGCCAGTTGCTTTATGTTGGGACAGTTGGAAAAAGGCCTGGAGCCAAACAGGCCTGGTTGCAGCTTGTGCCAGTGCTAGAGTGGTATCTCCATGTTGTGATAATTTGCAGGTGTGCAGAATGAAAGAGCTTTTATAGTATCATGGTGGTTCCATTGAGATTTCAAAGGAAACCTTGGGAAACCAGGCAGAAGTTAGTCACTGGGTCAGAGCCTCTGCTGAGAGCCCCCAATGGAGCGATGCCTAGCAGAGCCATAGGAATGGAAACTCAGCACGGACCCCAGAAAGTATAGCCAGGAGCCATATGCAGCTCTCACTGAGGAGGGCTGCAGGAGAGAGTGACCACAGCCTGTGGCCAGAAAACCATACCAAGGTCCTAGGGGCCCAGCCCTCTCCGCAGTGTGCAAAGATGAGAGACTTGGAACTGTAGGATTTAATGTCTGCTCTCCTGAGTTTTGGCCTTGCTCTGTGCCAATTGCTTTCTGTTTCCCAATTCTCCCTTTTGGAACAGGAATATTTACCCTGTGTCTGCCCTGCCATTGCGTCACAGAAATAGACAACCTGACTTGATTTTACAGGCTCACAACTGCAAGGAGTTTGCCTTGTGTCTCACATGATACTTCCGACTTTTGAATTAATGTTAGAGCAAGACTCTGAGACTTGGGAATGGGATGAATGGACTGTGTTAAAGGAAGGATGAGCCTTAAGGGGTAGGGACAGATTGGTTCGCACATGATTTGAGTATGTCCCCCAAGAGTTCATGTGCTAAAATTCAATCTCCACTGGGAGATATTAAGAGAGTAGAAATTTAATCTAACTATAGGGTTTAGAGGCAAGGCCTTTGGGAGGTAATTAGAATTGGATGAGTTCATCCCAGTGGAGTTCCCATGGTTGAGTACTGATGGCTTTAAGAGAAGAGAGGCCAGCAAAGAAATACACGTGTTCCTGGTCTCTTGCTGTGTCATGCCCTGTGTTACCTATGGACACTGCCAAGAAGGCCATCACCAGATGCAGCCCCTTGACTATGGGTAAGAACTGTAAATCAGCATAAATCTCTTTTCTCTATAAGGTTCCCAGCTTCAGCCATTTCATCACAGTAACTAAACACTGAAAAGTACAGGTCTACACCCTGTGTCCTAGGGAGGCTGCTCTGTCAAGATTGGGAGAGATCTGTTAGTGGATAGCTCTGGCAGACTCCAAAGGAAGGCTGCCATGGGCATCCAACTGACTCTTGGATCTGGGGCACAGGGCTCCTATCTTCATAGACTCAGCTACCAAATGGGCAGAGAAGCATTTGCTAGGGTAGGTCTCCATTTTCTATTAGTGGCACTACCCTCTGTTCCATTCCCCAAAAGTGACCTGTGACTTCCTGAAACTCCATCCTCCCTCTCAAATAACACCTAAAAATGTTCAGGTAGCAATGTGGGTTTCTCTCTTCAATGTCTCAAGCTCCTGCCACCTACTCCCTGCCTGAGGTAAAGGGACCATTGCCTGGGCCATTTGACAAGTCCCCCTACTCTAAGTTTTGCTCTTCTACCCAAGGTAGCTAGAGACATCCTTCTTGAAAGGAGATCTGTCACTTCCTGCTTAACATCCTGCAGGGGTTCTCTGTGTGATCGGGTTCCTTAGCTGAATCTAGTTCCTTGCTGGATCTAGTCCCCTTCTGCAGAAAAAGGTCTCCATTATTTTAAAATTCTTTTTAATCATTCAAGTGACATTTCTAGAGGGGACTCACGTTGTTTCTTCATGCATTCTGCCCCATCTTCCATTTCTTTATATAGGGAAAAGGCACCCTGTTTCTCAGGCTCTTGACTCTAACTTGGTGGCTTGTGCCTTGGGAAGCAGCAATAAGTAACCATTTCAGCTGCTCTTTTACACAAACTTCACTTGGCCAGGTACTTAGATTTGTTGGTCCAATGATTTGCATGCATCAGGTTGCTGCCTTACATTTTCCCAGGAAGTTGAATGGGAATTGCATTTAAAAGGGGAAAAATAATCAGGCAAATAAAGTGTTAGCAGTCAGCCTGGCTAAAAGAAGGGTTTTCATGGGGGGGATGGAAGACTCCTCAGGTCAATGGTTTAGTTGATACAACATCACTGTTGTGGGAAGGTTTGTGAATAAAGAGTGTGCCCCTTAGCCATTCATGTTAAACAGCTTGAACACCAGCAGAAATGACCTTCTGACTTTCTCCCTTCCCTCCTTCCCTTTACATTTTAGAGCTTCAGTTCCTCTGTCCCTTCATCAAGGGCCTTGACCTGATCACCACAGTCTTCCCTACATTTTTTAGTCACAGCCAAAATACCAGGCCCCTCTTACCTTGTCCTTTGCAGGATGAAGGAA